TAATGAAAATGGGAAAATCCTTCTTTCTTTTTCCATTTCTGTGCAATGGTTTCATGACAATAATTTGAAATTGATTAGTTCTGCCATATGCCTTTTATAGCCAAAAAAAGCCAAATGTTTCACATTACCTTGTCATTTAAACGATAATGCTTTGGAGAACGTATACAAGGAAAAGACAGGCAAATCTCCGCTGGGGCAGCAACGCAGCAGCACAGCAGCCCTTCTCTGAAGCACCCCCATCCCTCGCCCTCTCCTGTCACGCAGCCCCACTCTGGGGCTGCCCATTGGCTGCACTGGATGCAGGGGAGCACAGCACAGCCTCCCCGGAAAACTGCGCCCAGGGGGCAAGAAATCCGAGTGCTTGGCAAAACAGGAGACATAAAACAGAATTTATGATGGATTTTGGTGGAACTGAGGGAGTGAAGTGGTAGCTCTTGATCAGAGTGAGCTTTGCGACACCTACAGACACCAGGAACAAGGCAAATCCAGGTACCTGCTCAGGGCACCACGTTGTGCTGGGCCTGGGAGGGTCATTCCTCACCCGGGGAGGTGTCTGGTGGACACCACAGAAAACCACCTGCCGTACCACGGCAGTCTCCTGAGTCCTTAATAACCTGGCTGAGACACGACCCTGCTGCCTGGAGCAACTGGACCTTGGGCTCATTAGGTGCACTCCAGCCAGCCCACAGGGTGCTTCCTTACTTGCCAACGTTTTAAAGTGCCTGGGGCAGAGATCGGCTGCCTGGGGCAGGGGGGGCTGTTCCCAGACGGTATCTGAGCTCCCCTGGGTTTCCCTGGGGCACAGGAGGGGAGGCAGCAGTAGTCCCCAACCAGAGCCCTGGCTGCTCTCCCCGCTGGGGACGTAGCTCAGGAGCAGGGGACTCAGCGGAGCAGGGAATCTCGGCCTGGCTTGAGAACCCACAGAGGCCTGACACAAGATCACCCTTCAGCAGCAGCCTCCGCCTGGCACACCGGGGAGGCAGAAGGCCGTCCTTGCGGCGCCTGGCGCTCAGGCGCTCCGTGCCAAGGCACCGCTGGCAGCACAGCCTGTCGCTGCCGCTTCTCTTTCAACAAATGCTGTGAGCATCAGACCCTCTCTGTAGCAAAGGGAGGCCCAGGAGCTGTCTCTCCTGGCCGCTTCCCCCAGTTTGGCCCATCAGAGGCACAGACAGCGTCTTGCCGCACACAGCACCCGGGTGCCCGCAGCCGCCGGCTCCTGCGAGCGGGATGGTACCACTGGGAGGACGCACACTGGTGTTCGCCATAGCCTGCCTTGCACTGTGAGGGATCAAAGCAAACACATTCTCTCTGTAAAAAGATTTAAGCCCTGGATATTATTTGTGTTAATTATTTCCTGCACACATCCCACAGCGTAGGTACATCTGTACAGCGAGCGGCACTCAAGAGCTCGTGGAGGCTGTTAAATGAGGCCGAAGGGCTGCAGCTATTAGACTGGGGGCTATCCACATAAGCAGAGCTCTTTTAATGACAGCAAAAGCCTTACTTTACAGTCTGAGCAGAGTTAAATATTCCTTTTGCACTATGTGGGTTAGAAATTCCTCAGAGAACAATGCTCATCAAGTACATTTAAACCATTACGACGAATGGGTAAGAGATGATTGCAGCAAGGTGGTTTTAAAACCCTTCTTCGCTTGTCTGTGGTTGAAAATTAAACTGTGGATGGATGCGGCTTTACTCCAAAGTGTGAGCATCACAGGACAATTAAGCAGCAAAGATACACCAAGCTGCATCAAAATGGTTACAGCTACGTGAATATCTGTCTAAGCAAAATCATCAAAACATTAGATCAAACCAGAGCTGGCAGAAGACTCCTCAACCTTCCATCCTCAGGGACAGCAGGCGTTGCACAGGCAGGTACTCACAACTGTAACACTGAGCACTCACATCGTGTTTTACCTCTTCCCGTGGCGTGAAGCAGGAGCTGTCCGTTCCCGCGGGCACCACAGCGCCTCAGCTCAGAGCACGTGGGAAGACACCCAAGGAGCAAACTCCTCCAGCCACGCAGCATCAAGCTGCTACCAGGCACAAATGGACTGAAAGTTAAAAGAAGGTTGAAACTCTGGAGGCAGACAGTGGACGCCAATAAATAGCGTCCAGTTCTCTGATAATTCAGTATAACTTTCTACAGGGGAAAACAAAAATTCACAATTCCCTCCTTCCCTGAGAAACTCCAGCAACTGCTGCTGCCTCCATCCCCCCTGGCAGCAGAGGGGTGCTCCTGGGGTGAGCAGGGATGAGGCAGGTGGGTGTCTGTGGGATGGGCTGGTTGCCCCCATGCCAAGTACGGCGCTGTGGGGCTGGCCCATGTCCTCAGGAAGTTGCCAGCACCACACCATCCAGGGGTGGACCCAGCACCGGCCACGCTGGCAGCATCTCCGCATCCCTGCCCCTCCTCGGGGACACACCACTGGGCCCCAGAGGCGATGGATGGGCTGGATGGTGTAAGCTCAGGTTGAGGGCTTGTAAAAACACTCGGGTTAATTTTTGGCTCTGGTTCAGCCCCGTGGTCGCCCATTCAAGTGCCGGGATGTGGTCAAATGCAATCGGCTCACGTCGACAATCAATAGGGAAGATAAGCATGGTGATTATTTATCTATTTTCATAACCACATCGCCCATGCGCCCCACCGAGGCGTCACTGCCCTCACCATGGGCCCGATCGACTGACAGCCGCTTCCCGACGGCGCAGCGGGAGCAGACGGGGTGGCACAGGGGCAGGCCCGGGACGGGAGCCCGACCTGCCAGCTCGGCACACCTGCGCCCGCCCTGCACCCACCACCACGCAGGCCCACCCAGGTTGCCTGTTCCTCCCACCCCCGTGTCGGTACCGCAGGTAAGAGGAGGAGCAGCTGAACCATAGCCTGAGCCCCCAGGCACACACAGCATGGCAAAGCCAACGTGAGCGGTGCCGCGGGGAGGGCGGCAGAGCCGGCACCAGGCGCAGGAGAGGACGCAGTGCCAGACGGCCGGGGCCACGTGCCACGCTCCTCGGGGCCTGCCCTCACCCAGCAAGGGGGACCTCGCCAGCGGGCCTGGGCAGACG